TAAGGGGAAAGTTACAGTGGTTAGATTTAAACGAAAGGTCTGAATAACTGTTTCAAAAGCAGGAGGCTGAGAAAGTGAAAAGAAAGTGGGGGAGGCAGGAAGCAAAAGAAAGCGGACCGGAGGAATCGTAAGCAAGAAAGAAATTTGTAAAGAATTTTGGCCACAGTGGTAGGAGAGAAAGAATTAGGCAGATAGGGACGCAACAAAAGACAGCAGCTTCAGAGACTGCACGCCTCAGGCAGAGCAGCCCCTGACCTGGCCGAATGCAGACTTGTGGACCACCGCCTGGGCCCAGTGACAAAAGAAAACAGTGAAGAGGAGCGGCCCTGCAGCCGCAGAAAGAGACCCTTCCTAAAGCAGCTCCTGAGCAGAAGTGAGGGGTGGAGAACGGCAAGGAGCACAGCCTGCTACTGAAGCAGCGCTCTGCCCACCTGAGAGGTCTATGCAACTGCCGCGCAACTGCCGAGGTGACCATGCTGGAGCACAGTAGCCTGACACCCTCCCTTGCTTATGCTGTGCACCCAGGCTGGGTGTACAGGGGGGAAAAGGGGGAGGGGTTCCTCCTCTCTGTGTCTAAAACATTTGACTGCTGTGTCTAAAACATTTGACTGTGGACACAAGGGCTGAGCACTCTATGTAAAAACAACCTTTATGAGCGAACCACCTTAGGAACTGTAGGGCTGAGAAAAAGAGCCAGTGACTCTGAGTGTCTCAGGACTTCATTAGAAAGAGACTTACTGACAAAGTCAAAGGCCCCGATTAGGTTTAGGTGATCAAAAGCCTTTTTTTTTTGTTTTCACTCCCTGCTGTTCCTGAGTGTTGCAGGGAAAAGCAGGCTGCTCTCAGCCTTCGCCTTGCCCACCTCGCTGAGGAAGCTGCCTTGGTTGCAACCCAAGCCCAGGAACTCTGCTTACAGTGCCAGTCTCAGCAGGCAGCGACTGACTGAAGTGAGGAGGGGTCCGGGAGGTGCTGGAGCAATTCCAAACAGCCTTCCCGAGCTGCTTGCAAGTTTCACAGAGAACAACTGCTCCCAGCTCCCAGCTCCCAGCTTCAAACAAAGTTGCCCAAACAGAGCCGGTGGCAGAGCTGAGCAGACTTACAGATGGCAGCAGTTTCCTCAAAGAAGGTGAGCACAAAGCGGGAGGTTTCGGACCCAGAACAGGACAAAGGAAGGGAGGGGCTTGAGGAGGCAACTCTCAGTACTTCCCCTCCTCCCCTGGGAGCCAAGGACATAACAGCTATGCATGCACGTACTGAGATGTTGGGAACTTTCCATCCCCCTGAATAGGGGCATGATAACCCTTAGGTGTTGACTCAGTTACTGATGTTTTGACTTACTCCCTGGGAAGAGGCAAAGTGACCCTCAGAAGTTTTCCTTTACCTCATCTGATCTGGTAACCACTCTCCAGCCAATTATTGGTAACAGCCCCTTTGATTAAGCCAATCATAATAGTTAAAGAACAACCCCTAGACACCCGTTCCTTCTGTGGTTTTTCCCTTTAAAAATAGCCTGTACTAGCCATTCAGGGACTTCTAGCCTCCCGACTGCTGGAAGACCCTGTCATGACAGAATTAGTAAAATCCTCATGCTTTTACGTCAGCTGTGATATGACAGATGGTCTCTTCGGGCGACTCCTCCTCCTCAGTGATTGAACGCTAGGGTCCAACAGATGAAGGCTTCATAGTAGAGGTGAAACATTCAGGGTAAATAGTGTTCAAGTGGTGAGAAAAACATTACAACAGTATACCAAAATACAATTCTGTCCTCTCTTGTAAGTGGTCATTACCAACACTGTCATTGGTACAAAGAAATGTGCATTTCAGCGAATCCTATGAAATATTCAATATTTCTTACTTTGCTTGACCGAGTGACCTAGGGTTCCTGGTGCACTTAAAATTCTCATAAGAGGGTATCACAGTAGGCCTATAACGAATACTCAATAGAAAATGCTATGAAGCAGGAAGTTGAATACCTGCTAACATGAATAAACAGTTAGGTCCCATATGAGTTTCAGTTTTATTACCAGAATGACAACAGGTTTAAATAGGCAAAGTCTCACCCCATTATAAAAACTGAGGTATAGCCAGGCAATGGTGGCGCACGCCTTTAATCCCAGCACTCGGGAGGCAGAGGCAGGCGGATCTCTGTGAGTTCGAGACCAGCCTGGTCTACAGAGCTAGTTCCAGGACAGGCTCCACAGCCACAGAGAAACCCTGTCTCGAAAAACCAAAAAAAAACTGAGGTATGAGCATGTCCCCCTACAGTCCATGAACCTGTAGGTCAGGACCACTTTGGGGGTCGAACAACCCTTCCACAGGGGCTGCCTAAGACCATCGGAGAACAGATATTCACATTATGATGCATAATAACAGTAGCAAAATGACAGTCATGAAGGAGCAACCAAATAATTTTATGGTTGGGGACCGCCGGCTCTAGAGTATCCTTTCCACTAGGCCCTGATCTACCTGGTAGTTAGCCCCAGTTCTGCAGCCACTGTCTGCCCCATTAGTTTCTTCCCTTGGAGTCCATCAGACTCCTACTTTGAAATTGAAGGAGGTCTGCCGGTCTGCTCAGGGCCTTTACTCACTCAACTTTACCAAAGAGGCAAGCTTTCTTAACTGCTAAACTTACTGGAGATCCCACTCACACCACAGGATATTGGCAAACAACTTCCTCTGGGCAGTAATACTGTTCTGGAAAACCTGCTTAGCCCTGGCGCTTCTACTCGCTTTCGTTGGCTGGAAAAAACACACACACACGTGCGCACGCGCGCACACACACACACAAACCAAAACCTCTTTGAGGAAAGATCCATTTGCTCCCATGGGGGATATCAAGCAGGCCTGTAGCACCTAGTTTCATTAACTCTGCTTTGTTTTCATGAATTCTAAAAGAGCACTCTGAAATTTAGCTCCTAGAGAAATGCAAATTTCGGCACCATTTTAGGTGACTTAGGTCTCAGGATAGATGCCCAATGAATCCTCCATTTTCTCACCAAGGTCTTTGGCCTTTTGTCTTCAGTAGGAGGCGATGTGGCTGGAAGTCTAAATGGAGGGTCAAAGGAACTGCACAGCCCAATTCCATAGTATTATGTCCCTCCTGGAGTGACTTTATCATTCCTGCCAAAGGACCATGAGTCTATCTCATAAGTTCATTTGATGTTGGAGCACAAACACGTTTCCTTCACACATGAACCATTAATGCTTCCTATAACGTTATTGTACAATCATCAAGGCTTAGGAGTCGGCCTTACAGTGTTTTCTCCTAAGATCCAGTGTTTGCAAAGAATTTAGAAAGTTCCCCTGTCTTGATCAGGAATGAAAGCAGTATCTAAACCCTGATTTTTTCAAGTTTACCCATTTTTTCAGCACACATAAGGTCGATAAACTGCAATCAATTTATCACAAAATTGGACTGACACACATTCACATTTTAAATTTCAAACCTGTATTTCTGGGTAGATTAAAATAACCTGAAATATTTGAAAGGCCTGGATTTTAGATAAGTAAAAGATTTACAAAGTGTTTCTTCATTGACCTTGCTCATTAAAGAATATTATTTTCTCCTTTAATATTAAAAAATCTACATAGCATATAAAATAACTATATTACCATTCAAAGAATTTCAAATTTCTTAGCGAGGCCTTCCTTACCTAACCTGCCACGTGATAAAAAAAACAGGTACTACACAATGAAGCTTAAGAAACATAGGAACTCTAGCCAAATCTTCATCTCAAAAAATGTCTCTAAACACTGGAAAACAAGCAGAATTTAACAACTAATGGTTGATACTGGTATTTCTCTTGAAAATTGCCAACCCAGAAGATTTCAAACATTCTCGCCACACATGGAAAACAGTAACTTGTGGCATTCAGCTTGATTGGGCTCATCATTTCAGAATACATGTTATATATAAACATGTAGTATACCTGAATACACCCACCCAATTTTCATGTGTTAATCATATTTTAGTAAAGGCAGAAAAAAAGCTATCTGTTTAGAACTTAGTCACTATACAGAATTCAGCAGTTATTTTGATCTTAAAAGCAGGTTTCTTTATGAAAACAAAGCAGGTATTTCCGAAATTCAGTCCATGTGTATATTCTAAGAAAACTGGCCAGCAGATGCAATTCACACTCTTTCTAAGTCGCAGTATTCTTTCAGTTAGTAAAAGCAGGTTTCTTTATGAAAACAAAACAGGTATTTCCGAAATACAGTCACACGTGTATAGTCTAAGAAAACTGGCCAGCAGATGCAATTCACACTCTTTGTACGTCGCAGTATTCTTTCAGTTATGTCTTTGTATAGTATAGGCATATAAATACCATATAGATAGGAATACCCAACACTGGCTGAGATGTTCAGGTTGAATAGCGCAGTCATTCCGGCTTAACACCGACCAGGATTGAAAGTATAAACCTTTAAACAATGTCTACAAGGAAATGGTTGCATATAACCATGAACTCGTTGCTCGCTTCTCTTTAAACATACCCGGACGCGTGTCCGGTATAGCTTTACGCAAAGTGCTCGGTGCTAAATCATTTTGCTGCCCAACAAATCACTGTAGAATTCTAACTGCTTCGAATTAGTATCACTGCTTGTATTTTACCCTGGAAGCCCTTTCGACCTCAAAAAATAATAAAAGTTTACCTGCTCCTGGCAAAGTATTCAATTTTGAGAAATTACAGAGTAAAAACAAATGGCACCTTAATCGCAAAAGCAACCAAAACGGCCTTGCCACACATTCTCAAAGCTTTGCTTTGCGTGTGGAATATAGACTTTTTTAAAAAAATGGATACATTCCCTTGTACATTGGGCATTAAATCATTAGATTTCCTCATTTGTAGCTTTACTGCTTTTAAAAATATTAGTAATCTTTAGAATGCTGATGCTTTAAAAAAAATTCTCCTGCTTTTGTATTTTCTAGAAACAACCATGCCTCCAAATTACGACCTACCATATAACACCTATGTTTGAAAAAGCGAAGCTAAGTTACTCACTTCTAGCAGATGACCTGGCTGCTCGTCTTCGGTCCTCTGGTCTCCTCTGTGGTTGCAGTAAGTTTGCCGTAGTCGGCTTCCTCCACATCCTGACTTCTTTTCGTTTGCCCTGGTTCTTCCACTCCTCTCTAAGTCTCTGAAACAAAATGGAAGCACCTGAGACTTTAGCTAACATAAAGTTCTGTCCCCAGCCACTGGGTATTGTCCTGTTCTCTGCAGTCAGATTCTGCTACTAAAAGTACCCTACACCTCGGAGATCCCACGCACGTGCTGGTCTCCTCGGAGGTCCAAGGGAAAAAGGCGGAAAGTAGAACAGCTAGAAGGGGAGTCGGTCCGCGGGTGGCCTCCCTAGTCCCGCCTACTCTCCGAGAACCTCCTGCTGCTTCTCAGCACCTCCCCTACTTGCGCTTCCTCCATAGGCCATCTCACCACACGTGGACTCCAGAGGGAGGTCTTGAGAACCAAAGATGCAATCTGCCCTGTGGGGATTGTTCTGTTGGGGGAAAAAAAAGCTTCGCAAAATTTTCCAGAAATGTCCTCACCATGGCGGAGTCGCACTCAGAACTCTATCTAAAAGAACCTATCTCCTCCACGAGATCCATCTGCCACTGTCTCAGGAGTCCCGGGTTTAAAGGTGTGTGCCACTACTCCCTGGGTCGTACGGCTGACCATATGGCTGCTTTGGTTTTCTGATCTTCAGGTTGAACCCCAATATCTGTCTCTGGATGTTTATTCTTCATGTTACAGAAGATAGTACTCTCGGAGAGTAGGCGGGACTAGGGAGGCCACCCGCGGACCGACTTTCCACCTTTTTTCCCTTGAACCACCGAGGAGACCAACACGTGCGTGGGATCTCCGAGGTGTAGGGTACTTTTAGTAGCAGAATCTGACGGCAGAGAACAGGACAATACCCAGTGGCTGGGGACAGAACTTTATGTTAGCTAAAGTCTTAGGTGCTTCCATTTTGACTCCCCAAGAGAGACCTCACCCTTTCTGAAGAGTGGGTGGGGGGCTGGGTGAGGGAAAGGTGGGGGAGAAACAGGGGCAGGAGGGGAACTGTGGTTGGTATGTAAAATGAACAAAAATCTTTTAAGAAATTTAAAATATATGTGCATATATACTTAAGCCTCTTGCATGTGGACAGCACAATAATTACGTTCTGGATCTGTTACTGAATCACATGTATAAGCATTATGAAAATTCTTGTAGCATACACAAGTCTATAAAAGCCATATGGAAGCACTTTATCTAAAATCAGCCTGTCCCAGGGGAGCTCCTATTGGCACCTTAATGGGTACTTGTGTTCAAATGTAAACAAGATGTACAGCTACTCATGAGAACCGACATTGTTTAACCAAATGCGTATGGCCACCTGCACGTCAATAAACTGTTTGCTTACAAGATGCCTGAAGCGCCTTCACTCACACATAAACACTTCATTATTTATTTTCTTCAGTCACATCCCAGTTCTAATGGTCGTGTTTTCTGCCACTGTTTATTTATCTAGCATTGCAAAATGAATACTTTCTAACAGAATAAATATTCATTGGCTTGTTTTAATTTTATAACATTCTTTTTTTTTATTCAGGTTCTCTCTTTGTAGCCCAGGCTACCCTTCAACTCAAGACCCGATGGCTCAGGCTCCCTTGTCCCAAGATCTGCACCACCATGCCCCCACCCTGAAGCTTCTTCTTATACCATCTACAACCCACTTGTTGACCAATTCCTGAGGATAATATACACATGGAGAAAACAAATGATAAGCTGGGTAATTATAAGACAGAAGTTACTTCTTAAGTTACTCCTTATCATATTAACTCAGCTGATATTTCAATCTATGGTGTTCTACCATTTGTTTATATGCATTCTCTCTCTGTCTCTGTCTCTGTCTCTCTGTTGTCTTTGTGCAGGAATTTGGGGACATGTATTTCAATGTCATGATTTGCAAATGAGAATTTCTTTTTTGAAAGTTTTCCCTTTCTTTGATCTTTTATTTTGAAAAGCGACTTTAAATGTCACTAAATGTGCCTAAAAAGACTAGACTTTATATTATGTAATTATTTGCCAAAAAGGTTTTTCCTGTAGCCATTAAAATACAATTATCACAGCATATATATGTATATAAAAATTGATATCTAGCTTAGTAAAGTGGTACTTGTAGGTTCTCCTCCCAGATCCTGAGTAGTTTGTCTTTTTAGGTCTTTTATAAATGGATAAATGTAGTGGCTCAATTAGTTTGGGGAACTCAGTATGACAAACTTCAAGGGAGAACTTACTTCCAAACACAGTGGAAGGAAAGAAACAACTCCTAAAAAGTTGTCTGCCCTCTTACTTTTACACACAGGTCATGGCACATACCACATACACACACACACACCACCACCACCACCACCACCACCACTACCACAACCACCACCACCACTAATGATGGTGATAAATGTATTTTACGAGCAAAAGGGACTGAAGAGATGGCTCAGCAGTTAAGAACACTTACTGTTCTTTCAGAGGATTGGAGTTCAGTTTCTAGCATCCACATTTGGCCACTCACAAGTGTCTGTAACATCAGCTCCAGTAGACCCAAAATTCTTTTCTGCCTTCCTAGGGCACCCACACACATGTGATGTACACACAGACATTTCTACAAACATCTAAATATTAAGATAAGCAAAATATCTCATTTTTCCTCATGTATACATTCTAGAGTTAAATGTCTGTATATGTGTGTGCATATTCACATACATATGTAGGGCATTAAAATAGAAAGGGGAACTTGAGAGGAGAGGAAGAGGTCTTGAGGATGGAGAGGAAAAAAACAGAGCACAATGGACCACATGTGTCCTGAAAGCAGAAAGTAAAAATGTTTGTTCTCATCTGTTGCAGGAGGAAGCTTCTCTGGTGATGAGTCTAGCAGAATATCATTAGGCGTCATCACTACATTCTTTTCTTCTTCAATATTAGAAGTATTTGATTTTGCCCTAGGTTTCTTGGCTTTCCAATCTCAGCTTTTTGTTCACCCATGCAGTGTGAGGTATGGGTTCCGTCTCATGGAATGAACCCTAGGTTAAATCAGTTCTTGTTTGGTTACTCCCACAAGCACTGTGCCACCACTGCCCTCGTATATCTTGCAGAGAGCACACCTCTGTAGACGAATGGTTTGTAGCTCACTCGATGGTTACGTTTCTCTTCTGATAACATACAGAATACCATACTGTATCGGAGACACTGGAACATGGGGGTGAAGACTTTATGTATGCACCAGCTTGACATGTTTATTGACTTGTGTGGGTGTTGTCTTCATCAATGGAGCCTCGCTCTCGGTTTACAGAGAGAAACCTACAATCTTGGCAATAGTCTGAGTTGTTTGCCATTTCTCATGGAACCCCTTTGGCCAACAACTCAATTAGATAACCCAATCCTGATACTGGAAGCTTCATTTGGTGACTCTGTCTCCTCCACTATTTGGTGATTTCATCTGGATTGCCTTCATATATGTATATATATTAATTTCTACTGTATTTTTCCATACTACCCCTGAAATGCCCCTTAATTTTACCTGTTTTTACCCCATATTCCTTCCCACAACCCCCTCGATTCCCACTCCTCACTCGATCCTCCAATTCCAGCTTTCCTTTCTATACATATATATTGTTCAATTTCTTATCTAATGAGATCTATCTGTTCCCTATAGTCTCTTACTCTACACCCACCTTCTCTGATAGTATGGATTGTAGCTTGGTTATCAATGACGTACAGCTAATATCCACATATAAGTGAACACACACCATATTTGTTTTTCTGGGTCTGGGTTACCTCACTCAAGTTGATTTTTTTCTAGTTCCATCCATTTTCCTGAAAATTTCATGATGCCATTTTCTTAGCAGCTGAGTAATACTCCATTGTGTCAATGTACCACATTTTCTTCAGCACTTCTTCTGTTGAGGGACATCCAGGTTGGCCACCATTTCTGGATATTATGGTTGAGCAAGTGTCTCTGTGGTGGGATGAAGCCTTTGGGTATTTGCCCAAGAGTCCTATAGTGGTCTTGAAGTAGATGGATTCCCAACTTTCTAAGGGACCACTACATTGATTTCCACAGTGGCTGTACAAGTTTGCACTCCCACCAGTAACAGAGGAGTGTTCCTCTTACTCCACATCCTCAGCAGCATGAGCTGTCACTTCTTTTATTGATCGTGGCCATTCTGACAGTTGTAAGAAGAAACATCAAAGTAGTTTTTGTTTACATTTCCCTGATGGCTAAGGATGTTAAACATTTCTTTAAGTGTTTCTTAGCCATCTGAGTTTCCTCTAAAGAGAATTCTCTGCTTATATCTATAACCATTTTTAATTGTGATATTTGTTCTCTTGATATCTAGTTTCTTGACTTCTTTATCCCCCTCATATTTTGTTTCTCTAATTCTTATTATTAATGTTTAAGCTTTAGAAATCTATAATTTCTCATCAGCCTTTCTGATATATTTTAGTGATTATAAATTATATGTCCTTACTATTTAATAGTCTACACAGTATTGCTTTTTGACCACTTTCTCCAGAGTTTAAATCCTGATGTTAGGTGTGGTGCCTCACACCTGTAATCCCAGAACTCAAGAAGTGGAAGCAAAGGGTTGGACATGAGTTTGAGGTCAGCCGTGGACACATGGTGAGGTTCAGGCCATTATGGGTTATAGGGTGAGATCATATTGCAAAAGAAAAATATTTAACAATAGTAATACATTTGCCATTTTCTAGTGCTCTTTATTCTACAGCACCCTATAGATAATCCACGTGCATGTGTGTTAAACACACATAAAATATCATCATTTGCTTTTAAGCATTCACATATATTTTATATTTTATCTGTGTTTATGTGTTTATGCATGTCTGTCACAATATACACGTGGAGGTAGAAGGCTACTTTTAGGAGTCACTTCTTTTTACTGTACCCAGGGAGGCAAACCGAGGCCATCATGCTCTGCACAAGCATCTGTAGGCACTGGGCCATCTTGCCAAGCCCTGTGTGTATTTTAAAGGAAAATGTGGAAATAGGGATCTTGGCATTAAAATGACATTCAAGCCTTCTGATGGTCTTTATTTGCACCAAAGGATGTTGTTATTTCATATTTTCTTTTTCTTCAACCTGAAGAATTTCTGATTGTATATATTTGTGTGTTTCTGCTTGTTCCCAGGACTCTTACTTTTCTTTCTTTCTGAAAACATTTATGTCACCTTCAGGCATGAAGAATGTTTTCAATGGCTAAGAGACTGAGTTAACTTTTTTTGTCACCACCTTTTAGAGGAAGTTGCTCTCTTCTAGTTTTCATGGTCACTGATGAGAAAGTCACAGCTTTTTGATAAAACATGTAATGCATGATATGCTAGCACATCAAGTTTATGGAGGGGATTGGCCATCTTTTCAATACGTGGTCTTGGGATTTCTGGCTATCCATGTATACAAATGAGGCTTTCCTCCTCTCTCACTCTATTCACTGTGTCTCTGAGGCTTCAATTTTTGGAGGGAGCTTTTATAAAATGAACAATATACAACATGAAAAACTTCATGTTCTCTGCAACTTTGACGGAGGTGATCTACTTTAAAAAAGAACATTTTACGGAAGCCTGACCATGCTCTAATGTGCACATGCTCTTCCCTAAAATTGACACCATTAAGATAAAGACAGGATGGAAGGATGCAACAGACTAACGTTTCATTTTACCCTAGAAGTATAAAAGATTCCTCAGCACAATATAAATGTCTTGCAGGAAAGCCATGGGACCCACGGCTGTAGGAATTAGGCTCCTCGCGGGATTTTGTAATGGACAATGGTAAAGAGTAATCGTAAAAGGTAAGGAAATCTGAATGAACCATGGATTTAGTAATTAGAAATGCCTTGATTGGCTCGACAATAGTGACACATCCACTCAAAGTAGTAACAAAAGAATCAACCAGGAGCAGGGCATTTGGGAATATTCTGTCCTATTTTTGCAAATTTTCTGTAAATATAAACCGTTTTAATTAATTTTTTTTCTTAAAGATAAATGGCCTTATGGTGGTTAGGGGCTCTGAATACAGGGTATGTGTCATGCTGAAGATTATGGATGGCCCAAATGTAAGGTTTAAGGTGTCTGGTTTATGCCCCACTTGGGAATATGCTGTCTTAGTTTTAAATTGTAATCACTATGGTCAAAAGCAACATGAAAGGGTTTATTTAAGTTTACAGTTGTAGTCCATCATGAAAGGAACTCAAGGAGGAATCTCGAAGCAGGAATCAACAGAGGTGTAGCAGAATAATACAAATCCAGAGGCAGGTATTGGGGTTCAAGCTGAAGATCAGAAACGCAAAGCAGGGAACCACTAGAGAGAACTTTTACCTCTACCAAGTAATCAGACTCAAAGGGCGAGATGCTGTCTCCACAAATCCTCCGACTCTACACTCCAGTGAGTTCCTGTCTCTTCCCCTTTATATTTATCTCTCTGCCCAGCATATTGCCACTGTCTCTACATCCCCAGTGCTGGGATTAAAAGTGTGTGACTCTCAAACACTGAGATTAAAGGAGTAAACCACCAACACCTGGATCTGTTTCTGGATCAATCTTGTATAGCCCGGGGTAGCCTTGAACTCACAGAGATTTGCCTGCCTCTGTCTCCCCAGTCCTGGGATTATAGTTGTGTGCCACCACCCCACTGTCCTGTGTAGCTGATGAGTGTGGCTGCTTTGTCCGCTGATCTTCAGGCAAGCTTTATTCATTTAAACACAAATATACCAGTATACAGAGGCCATGGCGGGAATGCTGCTTACTGGCTTGCTTTCCATGGCTTACTTACCTTCCTTGTTATATGCCCTACCACAACCTGCCTGCTGAAGTTTTATACAAGGGCGTTGGGCTAGAGATGGGTGTCATTAGACTCTCACCTGAGATTCCAGCTTCTCATGAGGCTTTTCCTTTTCAGCTGTGTGTGATTCTGTCCCAGTTACATGTGGTTCTGTAGCCTCTGGAGACACTAGATTACCGAGAGTCTGGGCAGTTGACTGACATGGCAGGCACTTCCATCTATCCAGTTACAGAGAAGGCCTCCTTGTTCCACGCAGCAGTCAGTTGCTGCTTTGCTCCTGTAAGTAATCCCTCATGCGTTAGTTGTAAGTTTTAAACTTTGGATCACCAAGTTGAATTTTGGTGGAATGATACCTTGGTCTGTTGGAGCGCTAGCTGATTTGGGAAACACTTAACTCTCAGGGTCTAATTCAGTGTTTGCAGAAACACCCACTTTTTTCTTAAGTACATCCACTTTTTTTAAAACCACATTTCTAACGCATTATCTTCTTTCCCAATTAAATATTTCATCCTAGTACCTTCCGGGAAAGCTCAGTAAGCAAGGTGCTTGATTTCCAAAACCCAGAATCTACATAAAACTCCAGTTGTATAATACTAGCACAAAACTGTGGAGAAGTAATGTTCCTAGGATTTAACGGTCAGATAGCTTACCCTATTTTGTGAGCTTCAGGCAAATTAAAGAATTTGTCTGAGAAAAAAGTGGACAGCACTTGAGAAAACACACCCAAAGCTCTCCTTTGGCATCCACTACAAGTCTGCACAGACACATTTGCGCGTGAACACGCACCTACACACAAACCCCTACATTTGATCATCTGGTGTGGCGATTCTCCTCCCTGGATACCTCACGAAATTATATTAGGAGCTTACATACCACACACACCACTACAACCTCTCAAACTACGTCCCCATACACAGAGGGTGGGAAGGAGAGTGAGTGAATTTTGGACCTTATGCCCAAAGTCTAATTTGATTTGCCTGAATGGAGGTTCAGGTATCAGTGCTAAGAAATCAGGTGATGTTACCCTATGTAGTTCCGGCCTCCTGACTCCAACTTCCAGTTACCTCACTGGTTTTTCTTATTAAGTGGAGAGGATCTCTCTTTTTCTCTGGGCTTGATCTTAGCAGCAGTCTCTTCCTTTCTCGCTTCTTTCCTTTCTTCTTTCTGTCTGTCTTTCTTTCATTCATTTCTTCATTTGATCCTTCTTGTTCTCAAAAGAGAAGAATTCAGATAGGATGCAGTGGTTGGACAAGTACTCAAGAGTGTCAGCAGAGCAATCAAGGAGGCAAAGCAAACTGGCCAAGTTGAGATACAGCAACCCCAATTCTCATGGGCACAGGGCCTCAATTTCTCTTCTCACTGTCCATGTCTCCTTTGTGCTCTCCCTAGAATAGATACTCCTTGGAAAAGGCTGTGCTTTTCTCAGAAGCCAAGCTTACCTAGAATTCAATCTGTTATACGTAAGTAGGTGTATAAGATGCAAGAATATGAATAGAAGTTTAAGAAACAGCTGATGCTTGCCAGGCATGGTGGTGCACACCTTTAACCTCAGAACTCTGGAGGCAGAGGCAGATGAATCTCTGAGTTGTCGGCCAATCTGGTTTGGAGATAATGTTTCAGGACAGCCAGGGCTACACAGAGAAACTCAGATAAACAAGAAAGAAGGAAGGAAAGAAAGAAGGAAGGATGGGAGCAAGGAAGAAAGAGAAGGAAGGAACAAAGAAAGAAAGGAAGAAAGAAAGAAAGATAGATAGATAGATTACAGCTAAATTGAAAGTTTACTAGGGGAAAGGGTTAGAGTACTCTAGACGCCACCCTGCACAGGATTTCTTGAGGCTGTTTTAATCTGATCCAGCTAATATGGACCACCGCCCCCATTGTTGGTCACATCCTATTTGGAAAGTCCTGAGCTGACTCTTCCAGAGTCTCCCACTTCCATTCTCCTTCTCTCTTGACCCCAAGTAGGCCACCACCATTATCTTCATGCCATCTCAGGATCTTAGGCTGCCTACCCATTGTATGTGGTCTGTTGGTCCCTCCCTGAGCTCACGTTATCCTAATAGCTTCACTGGCAACTGACATCATACTCCAAATACAAGGTCATTTTAGTGTTTTTCCTTCAGCACAATGGAGACAGTCTGGTGTCCGGACATCTGACTCAGATCTTGGTTATTCCTCAGCTCATTTGGGGCAGTGCACCAGCTCTCAGAGAAGAAAGCAGCCAGCGACAGCCAACACAGTTTTCCCAGAATCATGCTGAGTGGAAAGAGAAGATGATGAAACTGTACACCAGTCAGGGTGAGTCTAGCCATCTGGAAGTTACTTTCTTGCTCATGTTTCAAGCCTGACCAACAAAAGCATTTTAAGCAAGAGTGAGCAACACATCCTATCTGGGACCATTGGGACAGAACGAGTTGGTCTGGCCATGGCCGCGAAGGGCACTGAAGCCGACTGCAGTAGTAGGAGGATAGCTTCAGCTTGGAGAGGAGGCAGAATCCTCAGACCTTAAACCTGGAAGGTAAGAATGAGGGGTTAGTCAGGCCTGAGAAAGGCCCCAGGGATGCTGAACAGAGGGGAGAGCAGCAGGTTGTACTACCTGTCCCTGTTGGCCAAAGAAAGGAAATGGTCCCTACAGAGCAGGTCCTGTAAGATTCTCTGACTCCCAGGTGTGGCCATCTCGAGCCCGGAGGCCTCCACAATAGAAAGCAGGAAGAACAGGGCTAAGGCCCTTTCTTTGTTTCCTATCTCCGCAAGACCAAGGCTAGATGGGTGGAGACTTGTTCTCTACCTGGAACACATGAATTCATGACTCCAGCTCTAGTTTCAGGAGCTTTGTGACATCAGTTTTCTGCAACATAGTGCCCACTGTGGGTAACGTGACAACAGTTGCCAGGAAACGCATCAGAGCAGCTCCTCCCAGTGACTGGCTGTGTCTTGTTCTCACAGCCCTGGCTCTTCTCCTCTTCTGTTCATGGTCCTTACTGTCTTCATTGCTGGCCCCCACATCCTTGACCACTGGATGTCGACAGAGATCCTGGTGAGAAGCTTTTCTGTTCTGTTCAGGCTGGGCCAACATTTCTAAGCACAGGTAGACTTTGTCCTGGTCCACCTCAGAAAGTAGGGAGGCACACAAAATTGTGTTGTGGATGGCAACAATACTTGTGATATGGAATCACTATAATGATGAAGGAAATTTATAAATGTTCAGACTATGTAGACAATGTGTTGTGTGTATGTATGTACGTATGTCCTGCTATGTACCATGGGCTAAATAATCATGGGCTAAATAGCCCAGAGTGGCCTCTCACAGTTACAGATGCCTGTCAGTAGGTAATGCAAACTGAACTCAGGTCCTCTGGCTAGAAGCACTATCCAGAACAACCGGTATATCTTATTATTATTGCAGGTTTTGTTTATTTTAATTTCATGTGTATGGATATTTTACTTGCATTTGTGTCTTTGGATTTGCCCACGGAGCTCATAAGATGGAGTCAGACCCCTTGGAACCGGAATAACAGGCAGTTGTGAGCCACCACTTGGGGTCTGTGGACTGAAGTCAGGGCCTCTGGAAGAGCCATCCCCTCAGATTCGCCGCAACATATATATTTTATTTTTAATTTTTTCCGTATTTTTAAAGTTTTTATTTATTTTTATCATATTTCACTCTTCCCTAACAACCCCTAAAGCAACGTCCTGCTCTTTCTCTTGCTTAAAACAAACAAAACAGTCTGTTTATATGTCAAAAACAAAACCATGGAGTCCTATATATACTGGAAACTACTGGGCATGGGGCCTGTTCTGGGGTGTGTTTGCTCTACTCAGTGTCACTCCATTAAGAAAGCAGCTATCCATCACATATAGCTACTTGGCTAGGTGTAGGGCTTTGTGACCACTTCCCCTCCTCCATGCAGGGATTTTATCTGGCTTGAGCTCCTGCCGATCTTGTGAGTGATCTCACAGTCCCTGTGGGGTCCTATGTGCATCAGTTCTGTTGGGTCTGGAGAACGATGTTCCTTTGGAGTCATCCACCACCTCTGGAGATTCAGATAGATGCAGACTCAGTGAGTTATCACCCGTGACCGAGTGGGCTTTTAGTGATGCAAGTGCTTCAGAATCACCCCTGTTGTGTTAAGTCCTCACCCACAATTTGGTCTGGCATAGGTTCCCTACCCAGAAAAAGTGTCACAGAATGCCATCACGGTGCTGTTAATGGGGACCGCGGCACATGGTGGAGACTCCTCATGTGGCAATGGACAGGATGCAAAACTTACAGATCAGATTCAGTGAGTGGTAAGTGTAACAGCCTTCAAAGGCCCTTCCCTCATGCTACAGGCCTGGGATGCTCCCCACAGTCCTCCAACAGTGCCACCTACTGGGGGCTAAGTGCTCAAACTGCAAACTTGCAAACCCCACCAACAATCTAAGTAGACTAAACTGAACTGAGAACAGAAGCTGTTCCCAGCAAGTAGCAGTAAATGATTCTAAAGGCAGTGACAGGTTCACAACTTTCTCCAGCATCTTTTTCTTCTACTTTAAAGAGAATTACTTATTCTTATTTTACGTGTGTTAGTGTTTTTCCTGCATGATATGGGCCTTTGTAAGGGTGCCGGGTTCCCTAGAATTGTAGTGACAGACAGCTTCCAGCTGCCATGTGGGTGCTGGGAATTGAACCCTGGTCCTCTGGAAGAGCAGGCAGTGATGCTGACTGCTGAGCCATCCTCCCAGCCCTCAAACACACTTCTTAAACTCTCTATCTTACTGATAAGGTATTACTGTTCTTGCTTCTGTATCTGTTCATAAAATATTCCTCCTTTATTTATAGTGTTTGATCCATTAATAGCTAATGTATCTGTTGTGACCTTCTATTCTTTATCATTTGTACTCCGATCCCCCTCATATTTTGTATCTCTAATTCTTATTTTTAATATTTTAGCTTTAGAACTCTATAATTTCTCATCAGCCTTTATGATATGTTATAGAGATTATAACTTATATGTCCTTACTATTTTATAGTCTACACAGTATTGCTTTTTGTCTCTTCTCCACACAATAAACCTGATGGTGGGTGTCATGCCTCACACCTGTAATCCCAGGACTCAAGAAGTGGAAGCCAAGAGTTTGACATGAATATGAGGCCAGCTGGGGCACATAGTGAGGTTCAGGCCAGTATGGGTTACACGGTAAGATCGAATTTCAAAAGTAAAGCTTTTTAACAATAGAAACTCTTTTGCCATTTTCTAGTGCTTTTTATTCTACAATACACTGTAGTTAATTCATGT